TTTGTCTGGAAAATGTTTAATTATTAAAATGAAAAAATTACCTTGATAAATTTCTGTTGTTGGTTATTATTGAAATTTCATACGTGTCAAATTAATATTTTAATATATATATTTTATGACTGGCATTAGTCTGAAAGCTCAACAACAAGTCATTCTGTTATTATTGAAAATTGTATTCGATTTCTAAAAGAAATTGCATCACTGTATATAGTATAAAATAATTTTCCATAACACATTGATTACTTGTAAATACAGTTAATGTTTAAAAGATAAATAATAAAAACAAATTTAATTATTCATTATTAATACAATAAACACGAAAATAGAAATCTCAGTAAATCACAAATAATTAAAAAACTCAAATTTACTAAGAAAATTTCTATGTGTATTTGTTTCCATGGTAATTTTAACTATATTATCAAAAATACTTTACCATTATAACAACTATTAACATTAACAATTAGCCAGTATTAATTCCTTTAAAGTTATTTACATTTTTTAGCAGAAACAGCATTTATATAATTAGTGTTATTAAACGTTTACCGATCTATGTATTTCATTATCGATGTTGTTTACAGAGTTATAAAATAAAAACAATAAACGAATTACATTTTAAGCTTTCTTTCTTACTTAACATGTATGGTAAAAAAAATTCTATAAATTAAATATACAGATTCTCTGTACAAAAATTATATAAAAAATGAAGAATAACTATTTATCAGATTTAGAATAAAAGGCATAAATATATTTAATTATAAATCAATTTCACTATTTTGTTTTTTAAAATTACAAAAATTAAAAACAATTATAATATTGAATATTCACTAACCTGTACTCTTTAAATGGGTCAGTCTAGCTATTGGGTAGAAATGTATGTTTCAGGGCACAGGATCCTGAGTTTAATCCCCAGAATGCCAACAAAATTATTTTTGTGATTTTCTCATTGGTGGTGTTTGATCATTGTTGCAAACCAAAGATTGATGTATTCAAGATAATTAAGTGTAAATATAAAAATGATAATTAAGCAATAACACTAAAAACATTTATTCCGTCGATAAAACAATATAATTTAGTATTAACAATAGTTAAAGAGATAGATGCTTAAAAGTTTTTATTAAGTCACAGTGACCGTTGACATGAAAAAGTAGAATTAGAATTAAATCAGTCTCAATGGTCCAGCGCCGAGCGACCGGTTCTCACCGCCCATTGGCTACCGCGAATAGCGTGATCTGTCGGACGTGAAGAGGAAGCGCCGCGATCGCCATCCGGTGGTAACACCGGAAATGAGATGCGACCGTGACAAGATAATACCCATCCCTTTCATAATTGGTTTAGCCAATAACCATCTTTGACTGAACTTGTGAAAGAGTGCTTGGTGTTAATGTGAAACATTACATTTTAAATATTATGTGTCAGAAAAAAAATTAATAAAATAAAATTTACAATATTTATTTTTAAAACTGAAGAAAATATTTATAAAAATACAAAATATTAACTATTGAATTATGTTGAAAATATGTTTTTGATACCACAGAAACGATTCCCAGTCACTCATTTACTCACAGCCAACTTTTATTACACTAATCTTTCCTAGTATAAAATTTCAAAGATATAAAGGTATTTTTATATCTATTCATTATGCTGAGAGAAAAAATAAAGTAAAATTCATCACAGTCTTTTATTTTAAATAAGTAGAAAATAATTTAAAAAAAAACTTATTAAAAATTTATTATTGTTGAAAATATATTATTTGAGTATCATCCCAGTTTGCAAAAATCGATTTAAATAAAATTGTGAATAATAAATAATAATGTATCAATAGGGAATAGTTATTATTTTAGTTTTACATTTTATTATCTAGAAACAGTGGAACTTTGATTGTCAGTCAGTCTCTGCATTAAGCACAGCCAAGATCATACACAAGATGTTGTGCATGATGAACTAAACTATAATAAATGTCTCCTTTTGTAATTGTTAAGAGTATTTCTAATAAAACAAATATCAATGAAATGTACATCAATAATTGATTATAATAATCCAATTATTGGATAAAAAANAATTGATTATAATAATCCAATTATTGGATAAAAAACAATAGTGATTTATAAATTATACTTTTTGCTTTATTGACATCTTTATCAGTTTCATTATCTATTTCTCTTTTAAGTACAATAAGAATACTCTAGAAACATTTTATAATGGCTTCACAGTTTTTAAATCTAAAATTCCATCTATTATTACTAATGCGCCCATAGTTATTGTTTTTATATCCAAGTTTTTGTGCAATTCAACTAATTGACAATTCTTTGGGGATGAGAAAAATGAATGTAAATACATTTAATCAAGTTAAAAAAACTTAAGGTTTCCTAAAAAAATTTAATTATTACAAAATAAAATGTTATTATTTTAATAAAACAAAAATATTTTATTAATATTGGGTTTTACTTTAAACATTTTGCACCTATCTGCAACCAAAAGATTTATTCTATAAAGCATACCAATTCTTATTCTAGATTGACTTCATTGAATTTTCAGACATGATATTTCCACAGAAATTCCAACAATCATAGGATTGTGAAATTATTTGAGCTTTAGTATTTAATTTACTCATTCTACAACCGACATTTCCAAGCGTTGATGGACCGTTACGGGATCCGTCATTATTCAACATTTACCACGATGAAAGCGTGTCTTGTGGAACGCTTCAATCGCACACTGAAGACGGTCATGTGGCGTGATTTCACTACGCGTGGGTCGTACAAATGGGTAGTCAGGTTGCCTGCACTGGTCTACGATTACAATAACAATCACGTGCACAGAACAATCGGCATGACACCCGCACAAGCTGTTGGGAATCCCAGTGCAGTGGAAATCAAGTTAAGAAAAATACCCGATAATTTACCGATTAAGTTTCGAGTGGGCGACAAAGTGAGAATAAGCAAAACGAAATCCGTGTTTGACAAGGGCTATTTGCCCAACTGGAGCACCGAGTTGTTCACAGTGACCAAGGTCAAACGAACAGTACCGCCAACATATTATCTGGAAGATTACCAGAGGAACCCCATTCAGGGTGTATTTTACACCGAAGAGTTGAGCAGGACCCAGTATCCGGACACGTATTTAGTGGAACGGGTGTTACGCACACGCGGAGACCAGTGCTACGTTAAGTGGTTGGGTTTTGGCCCAGAACACAACTCATGGATACCGAAAGCAGATTTCTCACGGCAATGATTGTCGACATTCAGGGCCTGGTGGCTGCCGCCGACCATTCGTTCTTGGTAAAAGAAATAACCGTCATAGACCTGGAGTCCATGACTATGGCCCACTGGGTGTTCAAACACCCAAACATCATCAAGGACGATGTGAAAACCACTTACTGACTAAAAAAGTACCATCACGGCTTGGACACGAACATTGGTGACGTGGAATACACTGAAATACCGAGAATAATGTCGTTGTTACGGTGCGATACTATCTACGTGAAAGGCGTGCAGAAAAAACAAGTTTTACAAAAATATTTACCCGGACAGAGGGTAGTCGAAATAGAAGAAAACTGTCCACCACTGCGAAAATTATGTGTGGAATTCCAACCACGTTGTATTCGTCACATAAATAATCATGAAATGTGTAGCTTGTATAAAGCAATGTGTTTGAAACAATGGTTAACGGATAATTCGTAATTGTTTTATTTACATATTTTTATAAAAAAAAAAAATTGGTTACAAAATTACAAAAAATGTATCGATTTATTTTATTAAATAAAACTAATGTACACTTTGAGTTTAATTTGTTTTTTCGTCGTCGTCATCGACTAGAGAATAATGCCCCCACGCTTTTGTATACACGTCCTTGTACTCTCCTTCGTCACCGATTAACGCCCGCTTATCGTAGTTGTTGTTGTTGACCAACGCGAGTTTATTAATTTCAACCGTCGAAACACTATGGTGTTTCGTGCGTATTACGGACATTTTCCTACGGGTTTGCTTGAGTTTACCACGCAAGCAATTCAAATAGTCAACCATTTTGATTTCATGTTTCACCACACCCATGCTCATGCCTTTCAATCGCTTCACCTCGTCCGTTTGCCACGTAACCAACAACCTGTCGTAGTAATTTTGTATGGCTATTGAATAAGCGTACACTTTGGGTAACAATGCGATAATTTCTTGCATATGCTTACCCTTGCATTCATCGGTAAACGTGCCCGGTTGTTTTTTTCGTCGATCGGTGTAACAAGGGTGGTCGATCGGGTAATTCGACGTGTCGAAATATTCGAGTAAGTACTTTTTCAAATCATCGTGGAAACAGTTGGTCGTTATCAGGTAAATGAAACTATCGGTGTCCATGTAACAGAGTAGGAGTCGCTCGGGTCCGTACAACGGCATCATAACGTCGTAATGGAACTTGTACATTACACATTTACTTATATCCAATATGGCCTGTCCAATAAAAATGGGTTTGTAAAAATTAATCTTCTCCTTGTACATGTGCACGGCAAACAGATTTTTGTTGAATACGGTGGTGTGACTAAACGACGGTTTTGCCGCTAACCTCGACAGTTTCTTCGGGTTGCACACGAGTTGTATGTTTTGGTGTTTCCGTACGTTCTCCAATGTTTTTCCTGTTGAACGCGAAACAAATAAGTTAAAAAAAATACCATTAAAGTTTGGAAAATTAATTATATGCTACCATAGTTTGAGTTGATCATCAGTTTTGTCCAAACGTGGTGGTCGCTTTTTTACGCAATTCCGTGTTCAACTGAATGTACTGTGCCAACCAGAGGGATTGCATAAATTTTATACATTTATGTAGTTTTGTTACGACCACACCGTGTTCACAGCTAGTTTAAGTGCGCGGTAGTGCACGATATAACCACGTTTTGGTTGTAACGTGGTCATCAACTTGCTGTGTTTCGAAGACGACAACGGTGATCGTTCGTTTACCGGAAAAAATGGTAAATCATTGTGTAAATCGTGCAATTCACGTGGATAATGTGCATCGATTTCCACCAGTTATCCGTAATCACTAGGGTGCGGATTAATATGTATTAAAAATTAAAAAATATGTACATATATATGTATTTATTTTTATCCAAATATGCAACTAAAAATACATTATATTAAAAAAAAAAAATGTTTATATTCTTAAAAAAAAAACATTCAGAATACAAAATATGTAATGTACCTAAAAAATACATTCAAATCAAATATTAGCTAGGATCTTCGTCGTCAACAAAGCAATGGACAATCATGTACTTCTTTAGGTTGTTAAAGGTAAATCGACGTCGATTAGGACGAAGTATGTTTTTGTAGCGGCTAAAAGATCTTTCCACGTTGACGGAAGTAATAGGAGCAAATTTAAAAGCCCCTAAATCAGCAAGACTAAATTCAAAAGAAGTTTGCGTATCACTGCCATTGAGAATGTTTGCAATAGCTCCAACTGTCTTTAAACCAGAGTTCTTACTAAGTACTTGCTCAACTTTATTCTTAATTTTTATTCCAACCTGCCCAGGGGATTCTTTTAATTTTTTGACGGTTTCGGAGACAATACCTAGGCTATCAGCCAGAGACAAGTTTTGAGCTTCAAGTTTTGTAATAGAATTAGCAAGGAATGTAGTATTGGAGGATATGTATACTAAATTATTTTTTAATGAGGTACTTTTAATTAACTTTTTTGCATTTTCTACTGAAACGGCATCTATTTCGAGTTTTGAAATTACATCTTCAATGACACTAAAATTGTCGCAATAATATGCAGCAGCTTGTAACCAAGTACCCCAACGAGTTATCACCGTCTTTGGAGGAAGAGGTGTTTGAGGATAATTTTCTTTAAATATATGTACACGACTGGGTGCTTTCAGGAAAAGTTTTTTAATAGTTGATATCAAAAAATCAACTTCGGGAAATTCTGATCTTATTGTTTCTGCGACACGATGGAAAGCGTGTGCAAGGCAGGTCACGTGAATTAATTTAGGATAAAATACATTTAAAGCTGTTCCAGCTTTCACCATATAAGGTGCTGCGTCTGATATAAATAAGAGTACTTTATTATGCAAAATACCATTCGGCCATAGGATACCCAAAGAATCGTTGACAAAACGAGCAACTGTTGAGTGGTTACATTTTTCAAGAACTTCAGTATTTAATAAATATGGCTTTGAAGCACAATATGAATTTAACTTACCAACAATTATATTTCCTATGTACCTTCCTTCTACATCGGTGGTTTCGTCCATGGAAACCCAGATAGGTCCATTTGAAATATTTTTTCTTATATCATTCAAAGTTTTCTCGTATAAGTCAGGTAAATAATTCTTCCTTAGAGTGCTTGCATCAGGTATTTTACTGCTTATGTATTTTTTGAGAAATTGACGAAAATTAAGATTATCGAGTTTTCGCAATGGTATATCTGCTTTAATTAAAGCTGTGCATAAGTCATTGTTGAAAGTTGATTTACTGGACGATGAAGTGCATGAGGTGATGAATTGTTGTTTTTTTTTTGTCTTTCCGAGTTTATTTTCTTTATGAATTGCGGTTCCTATGTGTTGTGTAACTTGAAAGCGCTGAGAAGTTGATACGGCTTTATTACATGCATCACAGAACAAAATATTTGAATCGCCACGAAACATTTCGTCCGGAAAATCTTGTATGTACTTCATTACGAGATCTCTTTTTTTAGGAACAACTTTCGGCATTTTCAATTAAACACACTGATGCAACTAAAAACTAAAAATACGAAAAAAATAAAAAAAACACGAGGACACCTTTACAACGTTTACACGACTTATAATGAAATGAAATTACTCTTGACGAAACGTATACAACAATGCATCACACTGCCGGCGAAATACAATAATATGCGATAAGTTATCGCTGATAACAATATATCATATGTACAATAGACTTTACCACGAAAAAATATTTTTAGCCATAGATTATACGATAACGTGTTGCGGACTGTGGAGAATCGCAACTTACGACGATTAATAGCGGGGGCTTGACTAGAGAAGATAACAACACAAAATATAAAACGGCGAATAAATTGCTAATTTATTAAGTAGCTGAATATTTAACAAAAATATGTAATTTAAGTAAATTATGTAATAATATGTAAGTAAGTTCAAATATGTAAAAATATGTAACATCAACTATAGCTTAAAATAATCAGATAGTCCTGTAACATATTTCTATAAAGAAATCATTCAATTTTTATTATTTGTGACTAATATGTAAATACATACTAATCCGCACCCTCGTAATCACCGTCGTCGGGGGTGTTCAGTACTTCTTCCAGTGTTGCCGTCGACCACTCAAAATACCCAAACGGAATAGGTTCCATCATGGCTGTAAAAAAAGAATAGAAAATTACAATTTTTTTTTTTTATATAAATAAAATTACATTAAATAAACATACCTGTCCCGTAAAAATTAGTAGCGTCCAAATACTGAAGGTATTTGTGAGGCAAGTCGGGGTTGTAGTCGGGAACATCTGGGTGGTTTGCTCGAGCATACCGCTGATTAACTTGTGTTAAACCTCCGCGTATACCCATTTCGAACATCAACAACATATCCGGGTCCGTCAATAGTTCAATGTATGCGTCCGTGTACTTCAACATTAAGTCGAACGATAATGCCGGACACGAAAAATAATGCGCGGGATCGAGTTTATAATTTGTCAGACATTCTTTTCGAAATTTTTCAAACACATCGGCCAGTATCTACATCAACAACAAAGTTATTACATACGATTCGGAAATAAATTATATAAAAAAAAAACATACCATTTCGTCAACAAGTAAATACTTGTCGCTGTAATCACCGAGAGTGTTGCAGTTGAAGTGTTGCCACATTTTTTTACTGTGTTCGTAGTCTTCCTCGGACACCGTCTGATGCGTGATCGAGCTGTAAAACTGGTCACGGGGCGGCAATTGTGTTTCTTCGAGCCTCTCCCAATAGTCGACGTACTCGTACGGAAAAACAGATTTTCGGTTGACCAACTCCAGCGATTCAAACACTTTGTGTGTATGCACGAAATCCGGTGTCGACAATGTGGCGGTCATCTTAGATAAACTTGCTTGCAGAAACCTGTAAGAATCTATGAACCGGATACGAAAATAATCATTTATGGTCTTGCTGAACATGATGTACTTTTCTTCGGACTGTGCAATGATATATATGTCTTTATCGTCGTACGCCAACTCTGAGATAATCATGTGCGAGTCGTAGTTGGACAGACCGTGTATGATGACCGGCATAAAGGCCGGTGGACGTCGTTGCAGGTTGCATTTGTTACACAAAATGAAACGAAACCGAGCCGTCCAGTGGTTGTGATCCTAGACTTTTTTTACTTTATCCGTGAACCTAATTGAACACAACTCGCAATTATTCGTTGTATCGAAACGTAGTTGCTCCTTCGGTGTCAGTGGCGTCATATCGATGTTCACCTTCATTATGTCTGATATGCGTTTACCAATGGTTACCAACGTTGTGATAAAGTGTTTGGCCGCATCCGGTCCCCGGTACAGTACCGGTTCGTTTGGTAGTCCATCGCAAATATTTTTCGGCAACACCATGGAATCGCGAACCACATAGAAACAGTGCCTCATCGCCTGGTGATTTTGTGTAACCGTACAGTCCTTGGACACTTGTTGCTCGGCGCAAACCAACAAACTCTCCATGTCTGCGTACACAACCACTGGAACCGGCTCTTCTCGCCTTGTGTTTTTGAACCGCAGTACCGACTGGTTGGAGTCGGGTGCGGGAAGGACGGCTCGGGCCTCCTTGAACTTTCCACACATTTTAATGTGCTCATCCACCCCCGCTTGTCCGCTCGGTTGAGTCTTTAATGAACGATTGGTAAATACGTTTTAACAACGTTTACAATAGTACTCGTGTCGTTTGCCCTCGGTTCGTTGTTTTGACACGAGTCTCGAGAAATTTGATATATAACAATAGTGGCTGTTTCCCGGCTCGGTAACGTAAAGTAAATCAACATGATCGGTGCTCGTACACGATTTAGTGATACGCAACGGATACACGTTATTTTTATCGTCCAACGCGAATACATTGATCGACATTGACGGGTTATTACATTCAAATCGAATAATTTGTTTCAATGGTGTAGGAAAGTCAATGCCGTCAAAACGTATATTTGTGGATTTTTCCAGATCAATGTAACCTTCATTCCATCGATCTTTATTTTTTTTATTCTTGTTGTTCTTACATAAAATCGCCCATTTATAACACTGCTGGTCGGCGTTTCTTACGTTTATGACCGCAAATTTTCGTTTAATACACAGTGGAAGTTCAATGTACGAGCCACCGCTTTTTTGTTACGCGTTTTAAACGATACGTCTCTCATTTCACCCATAACTTGATGTATGTACGTTGTGTCCAGTACAACGTTGAATTTTATTATACCGTGCTTGGTAACGTCATTTAGTACGGTGGTTAAATCGTCACTCACATATCGAATAAAATCGTCAATTTCGTCAATAGTCGTTTCATTTTTCAAAAAATAATGTATAACTCGACCGCGTAGTGCAGAATCTATAGGAACAAAACCGGTCCCTTCAACGTGCATGCACGCGCGTTTGGTCACCCTACCCGCAGGCGCTGACAAACATCGTTTCCCTGAAATAACAGTTTGACGGTGACCCTGATTCATACTACAATGAACATTCAAACCAGTACTATCGACAAATGAAGACCCACAACCGCATACAAACGACATGATAACAACTATTGAAAAATTAATACATTAGTTAAACGTGTGTATGGCCACCTCTTTAATCAACTATTCAGTTCAATGTACTTTTACTATTGGAGTAAACACTACTGGACTGTTAACGGATTATATTATCAATGGTGTGTAAAACTTGAATACATAAGTTTTTGTTTTTCTTCATAAAATCTACTCTAAAGTATTGCTATTGTGATTTTTGTTTTTACATTTTCCACCAATTTGAAAAACTATTAATCTTATAATATTAATCTAAAGTATAATTTACCTTTGTCATAAACTAATATTAGGTTCTATACTATCGGAGTAATAATGTAAACACAAATAGATTGTGAACGAACTATATAATTTTATTTCAATTGTTGTACATAAATCATCTTTAGATATAAACAAATTTTGTTGATTGTAAAAAAAAAAAAAAAGTTAATGCATTAAAAAAAAATTTTATTGAAAATCAAATGAATAAGTATTTCCCGTTCTTCCTCTGTAACACAGTGACATTTTGGTGTCGTCGTCGTTGTACGTTTTAATTTCATCGTCCGTCAACTGTTTCTTGGAACAAAAACTTGTCGGTTGTCGGGCAACCGTGCCACCACCACAACACCGTTTCTCGTAGTCAAATTTTTCATTGAATCAACTTTATAGGCATGATTCTCTACCAAGTCAGACATTTAATGTACTCCATGCCTTTGGCTTGATTATTCATTTTTTGTTTTAATTGTTCCATTTTCTACACACCAAAATTATTCGTGAGTAAACTATATATATATATATATATGGTGAATGTTGTATTAATGGTGTACAACTCGACACTGATACATACATTTTTAACAATAACACTATCATCAGCATGACACGGAGGAGAACACCACGTAATACAAATTTCCCGAAATTTGCACATAACTCGAAAACAGTGCTATGAATTTTTTTTTTTTCGTCACCTCCATCCGCTTGCCACGAGACCATTAATTTGACATTCATATCGGTACTCTCTCATAGCATACTACCCCTTTCCTCTCTCTACTTGTTTATGTTTAAGATAAATCACTGAGCTACAATACAGCCGATGCACTCCATCAGCTATGTGTACTCATCTAACCATTATAAACTGAGTTTTTTTTTCTTTAATAATACAGTTGTTTACAAACTATTCGTCATCATACACTATAGAAATCGTAGAGTGTGTATCGGAGCGTAGTACACACACACACACACATGTTTATATAAGATAATATTCTTTAACCTTTACAACATAAATACTAATATATTCACCATTTCATTTTACGATACATACCCGATACAAATGAGCTGATTGTTACTACATTGTTACCATTAGATTATTTAATAAGGAAATCAATACATTTTTTTTTCTTTTATAAGTTAGTGAAAACACGTACACACATACACACCATTAATACAACATATTTATTTTAATATTTCAATATAATACATTAAATATATTTAAAAAACTATATATACAACAATTAATTTGCACTGTCCATGTAAATATTTGTTCATCACAAAATTTACATGAACAGTGAGGTGGAAAATGCAATATCAAAAAGTGCATAGAATAGGGGTTGAGAACAAACTCCTCAACCACCTTCTGTACAATTACACGTTCCTGAATATTCGATAACTCTAAAAAACATATACCCGACCTACAAATAGATGCCGTGGAGCCGTCGGGATAACGTACATTATAAAAATTAAATTTTAAATAATTTTTTTCCCCGAACAGCATCATTAATTTACCCGCTCGAATTTCTCTCTTGTATAAATCGGTACAGCTCCGAATGGTTCGTAATGCTTCCGGATCGCGGATAATAAACCCATCATTCATTACTCCCCGGTCAAAAGCTGTGCGATTTCGAAAAATTTTCAAATTTTCAGCGATTTCTAAAAAACATAACACTCCAGTACTTTTCATATATTCAACCAGATGTTCTACAATATTGACACTTTTTGGTAATTTCATTTTGAATAACTAAAATTATTGTAAACTTATAAGTACATTTTGAACTGAATAGTGATAGCTAATAACTTACTTTTGATTAAATACACTTGAAAAAGATTCTGGAACGGTTTTATTGAATATATTTAACCTAAAAATTTGTGTTTGTATTACTTAAAATATAATAACTTTAGTTTTAATCATGCATTAGTTGAGCAGACTACAATTGTGTCACAAAAAAATTTTAAAACTGGTTTGAATAAAATAAATTATTTTAGATTATAATAAAAAAAAATGTATATAATAAATTAATTTTTTGGCAAATTTTCATAATGTTATCGATTTTTAAAATAAATAAATACATGAAAGGGTTAAAAAACAAATAAATTACTACTAAAAAAGACGAATGAAAATTTTATTTCCACAACAAATGTAATCAATAACGTAATTTTATCATTCAATGCAACAAGTACCATATATATATTTTTTTCTTTTTAATTATAGTAAACAAATTTAATTAATGAAAAAACTTTTTGAAATTTATAAGTAATATAGATTATTAAAAATAAATAGATGCATTGAACGTGAAAGATATTATAACAATTTAAAAATTTTACTTACAATTTAATAACTGTTGAAAAATGCACAGGAATAGCCGTGAAACACAGTTGTAGATATAGATGAAAAGAACCATAAAAACACCAAAAAGTGAATGAACAGATAAAAGGTTATTTCTACAGTATATAGTAAAATTTATATTTTAGGCACAATATAGTCAATTGTTTGGGATAAAATTCCCTAGGAATTCAATATCTTACTAGTGGGGATCACTAAATTGCTTACATGGATATTATTGTTTATTTTACACAATGTTGTAGATAGTAAAGTAAACCGTATTTTAACGATAAAAAACATATACAAAGTGTTCAGTAAGTCAGGAAACGGGTTTCTATTGTTCTCATTGTTACAAAACCCTGTATAAGAATAACAAATAATAGTAGTCTTATTTCGTTATTTTATTATTTTGGATAAATAACTGTCCCTTACATAACAATACATGAGTACAGCTAGGAGACCAACGTACGTGTTCTACCCATGGGTCGTCTTCATCATCCCAATCTTTCAAACCTTGACTGCAGCAATAACATAACATTTGATCATTTTGTCCATTACCTAAAAATTATATACACTTATAAATAATGAATTTGAATAAATGTACCAATCATAATAATGCATTCAATACTGTATAGT